AGTTTCCCATTTTCCACGCCTTAAGATCAAAGGAGCCTTTCTTTAAGATTGCAGGTATCAAGCTGGGACAGGTCCCAGCTGTAGGTTCCGTATGTTATTTTAGAAAGTAAAAAAAAAACCCAACACTATGACTCTCTGATCTTTATTCTTTTTCTTTGTGTCTTCTGATCTCTTTAAGATAAATTACAAGGCTGTGATACCTACTATTGCGCAACTAGCTTTTGAATCCTTTGAGTTACTTAGTGTCATACCATTGGTGTCTCTGAATGACGTGATTCTTCACAGATATATGCAAAACAGGCATTAACAACTTAACACTTAGCACTGAATGAATTGGACAGTGAGCATTGAATAGGGCTTAAATTGCCTTCTATTTTGTATTTTAAGATGTAATTTCCAGGTGTTTAGCACTTTGAAGTTCTGTCACACTAAAGTCAGTCAAACTGAAGTATTTGAGAGAAGGTTTCTTTTAAGTTTTTTTCATGTCTCAAACCAAGGTTAGTGGACATACATTGGTTTTGCCTCTATTAAAAATATTATAACTTATAAAAGAGAAGCTACAACTTATGAAGAATTGGGAAAGGAACAAGGTCAACAGGGAAGGAGGCGTGGATATGAAGCATTTGGACTGAAATCTAATATGTGTTCTCTCACAGAACCCCTAATTAGACACAAGCCTTTTTTTTCCTTTTGCAAGCCTTTTTTTTTTTTCCTTTTGCTGTTAGCAAGTGCCTGCTTACCCAGCTCTAATGACTGAAGCACTTGGAGGATAGCAAGCTCCTACTGCAACCTATTAGCGCCTAATTAAGTACACCAACTATTTATAAAGCATTCTTTAAGATGAGGAGCACCCACAAAAAGCCCTGGAGGGAATTAGTCAGTCTGTTCAGTGCAGATTTAGGCAGGTGTGGTAGGCAAAACCTAAAGCCACACGTTGAATGATGAGTATGAATAGAAAGCTGGAGGAGCTGCCTCTTCCCAGAGAATGGTGGGTCACCGAGTAAGACAGGGGCCAATAGAAGACCTATTTTGTATCTATATGATTAATGACTCTCATACCATAGGGGCCTCAGGAATAAACTTAGTTCTGTTATTATTTTATTTCAGACCAGCCTGATTGAGTCTACGCATTGTGACATTTATAAGAAGGTTTCCAGATTATTTGCAGTAGAACAGGGAGAGGAATTATGAAAGAGAAGTACAAGGATTAACTGACACATCAACTATTATTTTCTTGACTAGATGGAGTATGTATTATCTCCAGCGTATGGAGCCACCCTAGTGAATATTTGTGCTGTGATATTAACGCATTTTTGTACAATCTAGAGAGTTCATTGGAGACAGAAGACTGACTGACAATTTCTAGAGCAGATATTCAGAGGCACTTGGATCCATATAAGGCCCAGGAAATGGATAATCAAGGACTGAGGCCAACTTTATGTCTTAGAGAGCAGTGATCTTACAATTAACTTGATTTCTGCAGAAAAAGGTGCAGTTTCAAGCTGTGCTTTGTAATTTTTCTCAAGAATCTTAGACAATGACTTTTCTCACTACCAACTCCTCATTACCTCATGATCTATGCCAGAAAAGCTTCCTGTAGGGAGGTTTAACTCACCTTATGGGATCATGGCACAGAAAGGCATATTCCTCTAAAGGTAGTATATCAATATAGTCTTTGTCAGGATACTTGTAAATTTAGCCTGAGTATTTCTGAGAGTGAGAGAGAGGCTGAATCAAAGTTAATGAGAGGTTTAAATGATTGGTTTCAATGGTGCCAGGGTTTCAACCCAGATATCTGAAGAACAGGAAGGTCCTACTAATTCTGAACACTGTACCAACAGTATTAGAGAGAAACCTCAAAGACCTCAAGATATATGTCAGCCTGGTTTCAGTTGCAAACCTCCTGACCACAAAGGCCAGTGAACGTCAATGTACTCTTAGACTGCAAAAGAAACAATCACTTCTTAGCCTGCAGAAGAGGGTTTAGAAGAGACTGCTGACTAACAGACGTCACTTTTCTGTGTTGTCCTGTACAGTTTCACAGGCCATGAATTTGGTAGTATCAATCAGTAATATTATTTCTCCCTACAAACATTGCCTCAGGAGTAGTGTATAATATTCTGGTAGGAAAGTGAAGAGTGATATTAATCACTCTTCTTAAAAGATCAGAAGTAAATCAAATTTTCTTATTTTCAGATGCATTTATTATTAGCTCCTTTGTAAAGCAAGCACAGTAAATTGCACTTATAGCAGAAATAAGATGCATACACTTAATATTAAAATACTAACAGCACTTGTAGCTAGATTATCAACAGTTTTCTGAAATATCAGATACTTCCCACATTTCAATGTTTAAATATCTTAAATTACCACCCGTTTCTAAGACTGGAAGAAAAGGAAGCATGATCACAATGGAAGTCTCTCTTTAATTTCAGTGATTCTGTATCAGGGATTAAGGCCTAAATCCTCAAATATATTTTAATGTATTTTGCCCTCCTGAAAGTCAGGACTTAGGTGGTGTGACAAAAATGTACAGGCTTCAATGCATGCTTCTGCTTCTTTCCAGACCTGGGGACTTACACTGTAAGCAGTTCAGAACTAGGACTTGAGGGTTTTTTCCTAATGTTCTGTGAAGACACCTAGCACATGTTGCAGTACTAGGGAAATACTTTCAAAATGAACTATAAAAATCTGTATTCTAAAATTCTAACTTCAATTAGATGCTTAACATCCACATATAAAACCAGTTACCAATTGCTCTCTGAAATATCAGATACACTACAGTTAAGCTTCTAAATAATTTAAACTGCCTTTGTTTCAGTTGCAGATTCCTGACTACTTGTGCCCTGTGATTTTGCCTGTGGCACAGCAGGCCTGAATTAATTTTATTGTCAGAAAACTCCACTGCAAGAGATGCACCGGGTACACACGGGCCTCTGAATAAAGGGCCTCTAATGATCACAAGCATAAAATAAAAATAAAAGTTCTGTTTAGGAGGTGTTATATTCAGCTATTGGCTCCCATTTCCTTTCACGTTCATGAGAGGTGGCAACAGGACTGTTTCAACCACAGCACCTCAAAGCTACCTTCACACCAGCACTCCCATTCCTTCTGCTGCAGCTTGGGTTCAGCTGCAAGTGTAGGGCTTTGGGAGTGGTCGATCTCTCATGCAACAACCATTTGCAGTGTTCACCAGCTGGGCATCAACATGATGTAAGCACAGACAGCTGACAAAATGCAGCAGCTAACATTTCTAGGACTCTGGACTTGCAATTCCTTCTTTTACTAAAACATCTGCCATCAGATTTGAAGATGAGGATGGCCCTGATACATGGTACATAGCTGCCTCATGCAGCCAAGGCTTTCTATGCTGATACATTTCAATGAAATAAATAAAAATAAATAATTAAATAATCAAATAATTAAACAATTAAATAATGGAATACTAAAACAGTTCTTTCAGTAAGTTACTTTCCAAATAAATTAACACATGAAACCGTTTGAATAGCAACTGCCATCATCTGGCATTGCAAGTCATGTCAGGCAAATAAATAACAATAAATAAATAAATAAATAAATAAATAAATGTGATACAGTAATATGCAGAACATACAATAATAGCTGACAGCAATGTATCAAAATACTGTACATGTTAATATAACATGATGTATGCTAAAGGCGTTACTCAAATCTGGGGAATTTAAAAGAGCTGCCAAAATCAGGACCGTATTAATCTATTACAAAAAAGATGTGTTATTTCTTCTTAATAATCTCAAATGCAAATTTTTCTTCTAATTATGCTTATGTTCTTGTGCTAATTCATTCTTTGCTTTCTTTAGGACCACTGTGCCATTCTCCTAGAATCTCTTACTTGTTATCTGTAAAATAAGAGAAAGGAAATTTACATAAGAATTGTTTTTGTTTTCCTCAGACCTAGATTTTTAGTTCATTTCTCAATAAAGCTTTGCTGGTCTGAGCCATCTAGTGAAATGCCACCACTCTATTTCTCTAAAGGACTCAGGACCACATAATGCAAGGGTCAGACGTTCCTGTATCTGATGGGGATTAGGAGTTCAGCTTCAACTGATGAGAGTTAGGCACCTGTCCAGCTACGGCCCTTTTGAAAATTTCCTTCAGTTCCCATTGGGATCTATAAATGCCGCTGTAGCAATGAAGACTGGATCCACAGAACAGTGTGATCTCATTTCAAGTGTTTCAATAGGACTACAAGTTTACTACTTGTCAACAGTGTGACTCGGGAAACTTGGAGGTCAGAGAAATTTGCATCTACATCTAATTGAAAAAAAACCCACCCCAAAATTACAGAACAGAAGAAAGGAAGAAGATAAACAAATCTACAGAATTCTTTTTGGTGTTCATCTGAAGGAGGCTATTTCCATATTTAAAAATATGTTCTGACCTGGAAAGCTAGGCTGAAAGTAATTTAGAGCTGTCAGAGAATGCTAATCAATTCACAGAATAAGAAAACAACCATTCCTAGGACAAACAGAAGCTGCTAGTAGCTTTTCTTTCTAATAGCAAATATCTCTCTCTCACTCCCTTTCTCTTTTCACTGGTAAAACTTGGCTGTATATGGATTGTCTGCTCTATTTGGATGCTCAGCATTGATTCATAAGCTATCAATGAACAGAAAGGATAAAAATCAGCATGGGTTACACTATCAACAGCCAAATGCTCATCTATTTCTTAAAGAATATTTTATAATTGCCCAGTTAGGTGGAACACTACCCAAGCCCATGAACCTAAATCCATTGTTTCCTCTCTGATTTAAATGGATTCTAATTGTTTCCTCAAATTTTTTTAAGAGAATCATTGTTTAGACAGCCCAATACATTTATATGTTTATTCTCTTACAGATAGTTCATGAAAAAATGTTCAGGAGACAAAAATGATTATGTGGAAATGTGAAATAAATGAGTATTTAAGAAGCAGAAGAAGTTCATAGACTCCTTAATCTCCTAGGTAAGGAATCATCCCTGTTCCTTCAGTAGATGGTTCAAGTCTTACCTGCAAAGTGAAGACCACTCACTCCAGGATGAGCTGTAATAGCGATCCCTGGCCTGCACAGAGATCCTGTCTTTTGGCCCAGTTGTTGCAACCTGAATAGACTGCTCATCAGCATCATAGACCTAGGAACAGGGCACAGCTCCATCAGCAGATTGTAAAGGTCAAGCACAACATACAATAAAGTGCCAGACAGATTGCAACAAGCACATGTAACTCAAGGAACCCACTGGTAGTCTGTTGTTTCAAAGGCACCAATCTTCACCCACAGATACCAGTCATGAGCATTTGTGAGAACTTGAGCCTCAGTAAAAAGAAACTAAAAAGCCCACTTTCCACTGAAGTTAAAGTTGTAAAGTGATGCAAACCCCAAACTGAAACAGTCATTAAAACAAAGGGTTTATTTGCTTATCTGTGTTTTTCTCTTTTTCCTTCTTCTCCCAGAGTGGGAACCCTAAAAGACAGAAGTTGCTGATTTTAAGTATCATTGAAATTTCCACTGAGGACTCGTGGCTGATAGAAGATGCACTCGGTAGACTCGCCAGTTTCTCTACCTAAGGGATTATACAAGACAACCCTACTAAAATCAAGGAGTCAGCACTAGGGAAATGGCCCCATCTGCTGGTACAGGCTTGCTTATTTTTTTCACATCGAAAAAGACATCCTCTGGTGTCTTTGGTTTAATCAGTTGACAAACTGGAATGATCATTACATTTGTTTACTTTTCTGATTGCTGGATCAAGGAAGAGCAGCACTGCAGTTAAGGACCTGCACTGTGGTCAACTGGTTTGTGTATTTCTTTCCAGTTCTGCTGTTGATTTCTTTGCCAACCTAGGCAAATTGCCATACTGCTGTTGTGTGCCCTTTAGTGTATCCATGAGCATTAGCAAAGGAAGCAAAACCATTTTGTGATTTAAAGCTAATACAGAGTAGCAATGTTTAGTTAACTATTAACTAATAACTGGAAAGTGAGTGAGAAAGACTGTAGTCTTCGCCAGTCTCCACAGAAATGCTACCAAATGAGTCACTGATTCCTTATTTGCCATTCACCTATAAAGAAAGTCTGAGCTACCCAGGTACAAACAACATACAAGGAAATCAGTGCAACAGATCCTAGACTTCTTGATTAGGAAACTGGGATTTTCCCACATTAGGACCCACACAGCCTACTAATGAATTAGTAAATACTTTTCTCACGCTAGCACAGCTATGCAATGCTGGGCACAGTTTTATCTCCCCAGTTACATCAGGGTTGCATCCACCCCGGAGTGTGTTGTTTGGATCTTACTGCTCATAGAACTGGGAAGGAGGTCTTTTTCTGCCAAGGCAGAACCATGCACATTTGGGTCTCAGCACACTTTTGTTTTAGTTTGTTTTGTTTGTTTGTTTGTTTTTTTATTCTAGTCCATTATTCTTGCATACTAAGCTTATATTATTTATATTGTCTGTTCAAGCAAGAAAAACGTGTTTCAAATGTTGTATCTCTACCTGGCTTTTGCGTTTCTTTGTACTTTCAACTTTGACCCTGAAAGTCAAAGGGAAGTAGGACTTTGGTGTGCTCCATGTTCTCGGATATGTCCAGGTCACTGTTCTATTTGCGGCCACATACTGACATTGGGGTGGGTCGGGTTTTACTGCAAGAGAAAATATAGAAGGAATTAATTCACATTAGCAGCATAATACCAGATGTTGGTGTACTACTGTTGATAGCTTTATAGGAATCAGCTTTGGGTGCCTCCATGAGATTAAGAGAGGAGTAGGCATGATGTATAAGAACTGCCTTGTATGCTTCTTATGGAAAATTAAGCACACTCTCAGAGTCTCTCTGGGTAAAAGATACTTTTTGGTTTTTTTGCCTGAAGGGTTGCAGAGGGCTCTGTTGGACACAGAGGAATATCTTCAACCCCTGCTGACCATTAGGACATTTAGTAAAACATCTGTTTCTTTAGGATGCTGCTTCATTTTCCTGTGCCCTGTGGCATCATGGTCACAACTGGTCCTCTTATTTCTTGTCAGTTTCTATCAACCTGCCCTGGATGCCCATCTGTAAGAATGGATCAGGAGGGAAGCATACATAGCATTAACCATTATCTAAGTAAATCTGCAGTTCTCAGAGAAGAGCCTGCTGGTTTATTGGTTATTCTCTGACTTCTCCCACATACCCCTTCCAAAACATGTCCATCTAATAGACAAGGCTACAGAAACTTCTGGGAGATGTGGGGGTGAGAGGGTTGGAGGTCACAAGCTAGGGAGATGTTGCTTCTTCACTTCCTCATCCTCTTCTGGACTGCTGCAAAGATTTGTTTTCCCCTGTTCCTGTAACTGGGGGCTTGATACAGATTTACAGTAGAATAGGGGAGGTATTCCCAAGCTTGGTTTGATCAGCTACCATTGTTAGTTCCACTATCAGCAGCAAGAATAAAACTAAAAATTAATCATGATTCCTGGTCTACTCACTGATATCTCTGATGAAGAAGCTGCTAGTGTAGTTCTCATATTCCACCTCATCAATGACCTCCAGGAACATCTCAATTGGCTGGTGCTCTTCAGCAAATGGACAGTAGTTTTCTTTCTGGCACTGGGCTGTGTATTCAGTCACTGATTTATCAGTGTGAGCTACAGGGCTGCTGCAGGTTATGTCTCCTTGAGAGCTGAATACAGAACAGAGAAAAGTACTGGAAATGCTGGTTTGTTCTGAGAATTTCTTGCCATGATGACATGATGACGTGTAGTTGGTAAGGTAATGTTTTGCTGTTGCCTGTATCATTTTATGGCTGTGCTTCAACAGCTTCAGAAACAGTTGAGTGGGAATTCTTACATTTTCTGTGCTGTACTACATATTAATGTAAAATCCCAAAAGCCCCCCCTGCCTTAGCAGAAGGAATTAGTATTTAAACCTAAAACAAGATATCTCATTTCTTATTACCACTGTCCCATGACAAGCTCTAGTATCTTACTTTGTTCCTTAGCTCTTTCCAAAACCTTGCTGGAGGAAATAAGGGAAGGTTAAAATGTATCCGTTGAGAAATAAATAGCAAAAGCCATCTATAAAGTACTACCTGAATCGGGATCTATTTTTGCATTCAGCAAAATAAAACACTTTGCAGTTGTTTCTTCTTTAACAAACTGAAGTGACCTTTGCTCAAGCACTCCATGTTTTGGAGAAACCCCCAAGAGTAGTGGGAGGTAGGAAATCCCCACAAGGTTCCCCTCACATATTTCCCTTGCAGGTTCCTGCAGTGTTCCTCAACAGAGACTTGTCAGTGGACATGTGGCTTTTGTAGTGGGTGCAGCCTCCCACTCCCTTAATTCCACTGGATCTGCTGCGAAGGGTCTCAGTGCTATGATTGTTTCTGCTTTTGGCTCAACTTCCTCTCTTTCCCCTGCATGACCTGTTTTTGCTATTGCTTAAGTTATTCTGTGGCTGTACTGTAGCAGCTGTAACAGTCCAGTGGGGGTTGCTCCATTTTCAAGTCTTTATTAATTTCTGAGCAACTTCCATGCCCTTATAAGTTGTTAGTCCCAGTGATGGCGTAAAACATTTTACAGATGTTCAGTCTCTGGAAGTGGGATTCCTTGCCTTCTGCGTGTCCTCAATAACCTAAAATCTAGAATCTCCTACACAGAGTAACACAAAGGGCTGTTCCGGCCTTACTATGAGGTTGTTAAGGAAAGTACAAGCTTTTACCCTTTTAGACTTCTGATTGTGAACTTCACATTTGGACTCTCATTTTCTGTCATCCATGAACATATGAAAATTCCAGAGTAGTTCTTTGCCTCACATTTTAAAAATGTCCTGTTTGGCTCTAGATGGAAAAAGAAAGCAAGCATTATTTATTTACTCTTTTTGCCAAAATGGTCAAAGCAGAGAGAAAACAATAATTCGATAGACTCCCATCTACTTTGGCAGGTAGTGGGTACATAGGCAGACACAGCCTCATACTGCCCCTTGGGCAGCCACCTGTAGTTAGCCATATAACCACGGTTAGTGGCTGAAGGCTGGTTTACATGGCACCACATTAACCATACCTACATGGCTATTGACAGGAGCTAGAGCATACCCAAGATGTTCCAGATAGCTGTCAGTAAGAGATTTATACAGACAAATCCATCACTCCTTTCACAAAGAAGTATTGCAGCTATTTAGTTGGCAAACCTCTGTATTTGTTACACCCCCGCTCATGAGAGTGCACGCAGTGTTTAATCTCACATCTTCACACACTGGGGCACTTGATGGGGAATGTTTCCAGTGTGAGAAGTGAACGAGGCCTCAGTATAGGCCTGTGTTTCATTTCTGCTGCCCAGCACTGCAGACTCTCAACAACTCTGTATTGTACCCTGGATGTAGCTGACTGGCAGACCAGCCTACTGCATCTGATATGTGGGTCCAGGAGCCAGCGAAAAAGCCTTGGAAATTCATAAGTTCCTGGCACTACAGTGAGGTAGTGCAATATGAGACATAGATGACTGAGGTTCATGCAGAAAATGCAAAACATCACAGTCTTGTCCCAGTGGGTTAATCGTGAATGGAGAAGCCCAAATGACAGCACTTAAAATCTAGGTCAGTCCCTGGTTCTATCAGATCATGTGGCCCCGGTTTTGCAAACCCTCTCCTGAGTGCTGGGTCTGTGAGATGGAGGCAAAGCAAGTCAATTGCTCCCCAGCCAGAAAAGCAGTGGCGTGGTATTGATGTTATCCTGTATCTGATCATTCCTACCGTCACTCCATCCTATAGGTCTAGAGAGTTCTAAATTAATCCCATGGCAACTGATTCCTATGCTGCTCATCAGCTGCACCATATACAAAACCACAAAAGTAACCATTTGCCTTTCATTTTCAGTAAAGCATTTGAAGAGGACCCATTTTAAAGTGGATATTTCTCATGCATTTCTCCAGAGAGCTTCCCCTGGTCCTCACAAAACTCCAATGCACAAAGCTGAACAAGATATGTCACGTCATCTTATGACCGTACCTTTAAAGCTTTTCAGAATTGACCTTATCATTTGCCCATTGGAGTCTATTTTAGTTATAAGGAAGAAATCATAGCTGACGATTTCATGGGTATTAGCTGTCAGACAGGTGTAGTTGCCAGCATCTGGGAACTCTTTCACTTCGGCAATCAGAGTCTTTCCAGTTCCTATCAGTTCAGCGCCCTTATTCCAGTAAACTGGCAGTGCTTCATCAGATGTGTTACAGGTGAGCTCCACTCTTTTAGCTGGTGTCTCATCAGTCCACTCTGATTCTATGACGTACACTGGACATCATTGCAGAGAAAGACATGTTAGCAGCTACTCATACTTAACAGTGTGAAGATTGAACTGAGCCCTTTTTTTCAGCTCTGCTCTCCAGGAAAACTGCTAACAAATCTCTGGCTTTCTTGTCCAAGGCCTCACCATCACCTGGAAATCTTTACTACAAGAAGAGTTCAACTTAGAAATTCACAGTGTGTCTAGAACCTGCTGATCAATAGGGATGACATTTTAATGGCAAAAAAAAATCACTTCTTCATGTTCCCAGAGAATCTTACAGTGGTTCATAACTGTGGGAAGTAGGCAGGTACCTTTGTTTTAAAGGTGAGGATGCCAGGACACACTGAGCCCAGGTATTCCTCCTGCACATGGCCTGTGGCCTTTGCTCACAGAATGGCATGTAAAACTACTCTGTAATATGGTGCTTTGCTATGGTACAAAGCTATGACGCTTTGCCCTCTTCAGCATCAAAGGTCTGTGGGTGAGCAATGGGAAGGAGGGGAGATCTGGATAAGTGGTTTGTATTTGCCTGTAGCTGATGCTGTTTTCCATTTTCTGCAGGGAACAATCTGTACTCCTATCACCCTGGTCCCAGTGGAGCAATTACTAAGAGACAGGGGATTGCTGAGCTACAGCAGAGTTAAGTGGACCACAACAGGGAGATGTGGTCTTCTAAATGCCATCTTGTAACTCTGAAGCGCCCTGCTGGTCTTCCCAAATTAGAAGACACCACATAACAAAATAACTTGCAACAATTTCATTAAAGAAACATTATCTTCTCTTGTCTCTTTGCTGTGGTTGGCTGAAGAACTTCACCTACCCTTCTGTGTGGCAACAGTTCTCAAATTTAACTGTCATTGCTCAGATGTACTACTGCTGTTACAGGCTCCCCAACCATGTTCAGTGCCCTCAGAGACTCTTCTACATGCAAGAAGTGGCAAAAAATTGTTTCTTGGTGTGTGAACACCACAGCAAGCACTCAGCTCAGGAAATCAGAGTTCCAGTGAGCTCCAACACTTTTTCACCAGAGCATTTCACTACCAAAATGAGAGCTGTAAGACTTTACCACAAAGAAGAAACACTAAGAAATACATGTCAAATGCTTAATCTAAAATAGCAGAAAAAATGCAACTCTAGGAAGCTTGGAAGCTTACCAAACTGCTTATGGATATTTGAAGCATAGGCAAGGTAAATCTTACAGACTTCAAACACAAAGATTATTCTCAATGCTGACAAATGTATTTGCAGTTTCCCACACCATGGTATTGCCCAGGCAACCCACAGGATAAGTAATTTTTAAATTTAAAAATACGGGGAAAAGTAATTGAATTACTTTTTACAAATAAAACACAATCAGATTTAGAATGCTTTTCTCATGTTGATTAGGGTCCTTCTTTTTGGATAATCGCATTGAAGACAGCCTGGATTATGGAGCTACACTGGGTGAATAAGAACAGCAACTTTGATTATCTGAATTTAGCCCAATTTTCTGGTAAGTTATTCCAAAGATTTGTTTGTTTATTACTGACCCTGTATTTTTACAAATGTATTTATATTTAAGGTATTTACCAGAAAAGTTGGATAAACTATTTCTAGGTTTTAGGTTTTACTGTGAAATATTCTTTTTGACAATTAATTCTTCACTTGTTTGTTTGTGGGCTGTTACCTAAGTCACAAGATACTGTTTCTGCTTCCAGGCTGCATGACTGAAACTTTTGAAACAAGAGAACAGGGAATAGGATATAAGACAGTTTGTAATGCAAATATTCAGAATGGCTGTTGTATGACATTTTAGGACTTCTAAGTATTTCTTCCATTAATACCAATTAGCTGGATAGTTATTCACAAACAAATAGGAAGAACCTGGGCTATAGTTAACAAATTCTGTGCTTGTGGACACAAGTATAATTCTGAAATACCCTTGTGTCCTACAGTCAGCTGTAGGTGTCAGTAAGTGAAGACTGCTTACCATTTTCCCTCAGTTTCCACTGCGCTTCCAGAAGGGCAGCAAAGGAAAATAATGAAAGTAAGGCAAATAGCAAGTGAGAAATCTGTCGGGAAAAAATACATTAATAAACTTCACTGAG